CATTGTATTAAATCTTGAACCCTAAGTACATGTCTTCTGAATATTCTGTGTGATGAGATGGGAAGTGCACACAGAAAACTTAGATAAACTACAGTTATTCAGAGTTGGGTATTTGAAGGCATTTTCTTGAAAATGAAAGAAGTGAGCCCATCACTTCAATTGCCAAGGTTGTCAATGATAAAATTCAAGGTTTCAAGCGGAAATTAGAATTTGGGAAGACTTGTATCTATCACTGAAAGCTTGACACCTTCCCAACACTTAAAGATTTCTTATAAAAAGAGTGGTGATATTAATTAATATGACTTTTTAAAGTATTTTAAGATGAACGATGTCAACATTTGAAAGAGCTTGATAATCTCACTGATCCCATATTTTCCAAATGACTGATGCATGATGTTACAAAATCATCCGTGAGCAAAAGATCCATTCAAATAGGAGACAGCCTAATGGATTTCAATGTAACTGAGTAGAAAAAAACTTATTGATATGTCATTAGACAACCCACTGCACCTAACCTTTAAGAAACCACCACTTCTTGAGTTTTGGTGTGGCATCAAAGAAGAATATCCTCAATTATCTGAAAAGTCTATTAAAATATTCCTCATTCCTCCATTTTCCAACCACTTATCTGTGTAAGGCCAGATTTTCTTCACACATCAAGATAATATATTACAACAGATTGAATACAGAAGCAGATATGAGAATCTAGTTGTCTTCTATTACAACAGACATTAAGGAAGTTTGGAAAAAATGTAAAACAATGCCACTCTTCTCACGAAAAATTGTTTTGTTTTGGAAAATATGGTTGTTTCCCACAGAAATATATTATTCATGTTAACACAATGAGCTTTTTTTATTTTAAAAATAAATTAATAAGTATTTTTACAATGTGTTTAAATTTCTAATACAAAAATATCAATAGATACAACTTAAACAAAAGCTCTTTGGGGGCTTCAATAATTTTTTCAAGAGTATAAATTGGTCCTAAGATCAAAATTGAGAAATGCCATACCAGTGAATGAGCTCCCACAACCAAAACGAATGGAGAAACAGCAACGTAAAGGACTGGTGGTGGGTATTAAATTTACATTTACCTTGGAACCAAGACGAAATACTAAATGATAGTTTTAGGGTGAGAGCATGGCACACAATGGCTGGCTGCTCTGCCAATGCACATACCACGCAACCATCCAAAATTGGAAAGATACCGAGGAGAGGACGTGACAAGGAGAATAAGCTTGCCAACTGTGTTGTAGTTACTAAGAGTCAAAGGGTATCATTTTTTAATCATGTACTAGAGCATCTGAGAGGGGAAGAAGAGGTTACAAGCTAAGTTTAGTATTACTGATAACATAGAACCAACAGACAATAACCCAAAAAAGAGAGGACTAGGGATATTATATAAAATTTTTAATATAAAGGAAATTATTAGAATAAAAATATAAACCTTTCTAAATACCAAAATGAAGAATAGTAGCAAACAAAACAGCTGCTTATTTAAAAAAACACACCTAAGATAAACAATGGAATGAGAGCCTTTTTTAAACGGTTCTCTCCAGGGGGTGGGAGAGAATGGGGTAAAAGGCAGGATGGAAGCCGAGCCTCTGTGAATCTACTTCGTTTTACAGATTTGACTTTGGAACAAAGTACTTTTTTTTTTACATAATTACAAAATAAAACCAATTTTTAAAAAAGTAATCCTTCTAAATTAAAAATAAAGTGAAACAAATGAATCTAAGTGATTATCCTCAGTTGGTGGCGTAACAAAGGGAACCAAGAACCACTTCAGAGGCTCACAGCCGCCTGACTCCAGATCCCAGCGGGATGTTTGCTAAGGACGAAAAGAACTCCAAAAAGACATAGCAATGCAAAAAACTCCTTCAAGCTACATTTGGTAATTATTTGTCGAAAGTAGGGTTAGTGTGTTTATTCTGAAACTGATGTGTGTGGGTTGTGGGATAAAGCGAACAAGTGACTGTGACATTATTACATTTATCATTCCTGGTGTCACGTGCACTAGGGGGCAGAGGAGACAGAGATGGAAGAGTTAAGTAGAGAACCTCGTAGTCATACATGTGAATCAGGAACACCAGTATAAACTCATGATGAATTTTATATTTAAAGACAATTTATTTCCTAGCTCTGTCCACTGAAAAAGCCTAGCAACAAAGCCTGAGCCAGGAGCCACACGGACCCCTGGACCCCAGAGTGTGGCCTGGAAAGGCCGTTTTCCATAAGATGAGACAAGTAGGAATCTGAACACTGACTGTGATTTCAGGAATGATTGCTAATTTTTGGAGGACTATGATATCGGTATTGTGATTGTTTTCCAAAGAATCGTTTGTACATTTTTTAGATACATACTGAAATACTGACTAGAAAGGGATATTATATCTGGGATTTGTACTGGGGAGTTGTTTGGGGCGGTGGGAGTCGGGTGGGGTATGGATGAAGCAGGACTGGCCATGAGTTGACAATATTGGACACATGATGGGTCACACGGGTTCACTGTACTTTTTGTATCTACTCGGTACACGTTTTAAGTTTGCATGGTGGAATTTGCAGAAAAAGCTACCTTGAAATTCTGGCCTCCATCTAATCCTTTACCCCTAACCAGTGTAGTTTTGTTTTATTCGTTAATTTGTGAGTTGAAGACATTTCAGAAAGGTGTAATAGGAACAGGAAAAGAGAAAGCAAAGAAAGCAAGGAGAGAAAAATTAGTGGTGGTTGTTTCAATGACGGTTTCCTCCAGAAATGCATCCTGATTTTAACAACGGGTTATAACTGATTGAGCCTGTGGAAGACTCAAGTTTCTTCTTTGATAACGACTCTCATTTTTGGGTACTACGTAATAGGGACTTTCCTGAGTGCTTTCTCTACACAATTTTATTTAATCCTCACAGCTACCACATCCCACTTTATAGATGAGGACTGAGGTTCGGAGAGGCTAAATGACCAGTCACAGCATCAAAAGGTGGCAGAATCAGGATTTGAAACCAGGTCTGTACAACACCTGACGACTGTGCTGCTGAAGAGTGTGCTCCACCACCCCCCGCAGAAACCTAGTCACCCACCAAATAGACAACAGCCAGGCTGAAAACACACTGGACTTTGTGAGTTAGATTTTTTTAAAAATCACCAGTGAGCTTTGGAACATGAGCAATTCTGAGAGAAATGTGAACCACAGCCTCGTTGTAGGGAGGGGTTATGACATGTGAGCAATGAATGCTTGGGGGACGGGAGGGCCTACAACAGGCCAGACACAGTGGTGACCCAGAGTCCCTGCCCACGTGGGTGAGACAAGCGGGGCTGGGCGGGTGGTCTGAGAGCCCCACTAAGGACGTGAAGCTGCCATGCATGACTAAGCCACGCAGGCAGCCGACCAGGAAGCCAAGTACGTATGAATAGAGCTGAGTGTTATAATCAAATGGAATATAGAGCAAAGTTCACCTAAACGTGTTTAATAACATGCTTCCTCACTACTGAGTTACACAATTCAGCTTGAGCGGTTACCTCTTGGCATGTGTAGCTGTAATTAATGCTACTTTTTACATAGCCAAACAAAACATTTCTGGGAGAGGGAGAAACGGGGGCAGGGCTGGAAGCTGTTCTGGAAGCTCTCTGTGATTCAGAAGCAGTAACTGCTCACTGCGTCCTGCTGGTCCCACCTCTGAAGCCTCCTGTGACCTTCTCCCCTTACCCGGGCATGCTCACGACTCTCCTGGGCCTCCAGGGAGCCTCCTCAGTCTCCCCATGGTCCTGCCCCATCCATCCTTCACCTGGTGGTAAGTCATCTCCCTAGCAGCCCAGCTGATCACTGGGTCATGGTGCTGCCCCACAGGGCTCCTGCTGCGCACTCTCCCCTCCCTCCAGCCCCAGGCTCCTGCACGGCACTGCTCACACTGGGACCAGATCACAGCTGGAGGAGCAGCTGGGGGGCAGGGACTCACCTTACTCCTCTCATTGCCTCTGAGGCCATCTAGGCACAAATGTGTCACCCAGGGAAGAAGAAAAGGCAGAGTAGAGACAGTGAATAAAGGGTGCTAGGAAACGAATTTTAAACAGAGAGCCTGGAAATGGGTACAGAGGGGAGGCAGTAAGGAAGGCAGAGGAAGCTCAGAGGGGCAAGTGTTGACACCCACAGATTGAAGCCGTGATGGGGGCAGATACCTCGTAACGTCCCACTTCACGGGGTTAGCAATTAGCAGGAACTGTGCTTTCTAACCTTTTCAGACTCAAATATGGACATTAGGGAGCTTTTCAAGTTTCCTCCTAATCCAGTGCTTCTTGTCTGGGGCTCTTTTATTTCTGGCTTACGTTTTTCTGTCCCCTACAGTACCTGTCCCACAAGGCGATAAAATATCACTAATCAGCGTGAGATGCCAAAAAGAGTGAAAAACCTGAACTGCATATTATTAGCAATATATAGTTACATGCAGTTTAAGTCTAACAGTAGCTCCTTTATAAAAGCTACTGGATGTCCTCGAGGTTCTGCTTTAGCAATAACGACAGTGGAACATCTGTGGTGCGTGAAAACATCGCCTATTTACACGCCTCTTTCCCGCAGCCATCTGTCTTCTCACAGAAGCTGAAGCCAACTGCAGTTCGTCCACATCCAGGAGCCAGAGTCTGCACCTGGAGATTGACCTTAACCCAGATGCTCTGAGGGCCACAGAAGAGCCATGACTCTGCCCTTGGCCTTGAACTCAGTTCTGCTAGAGACCAAATCCTAACTGGTGACTGGATTTCGTTTAGCATTAAAGATGAAAGATGTGAGTGCAAAACAGAATGAGACTATTTAAAGCTCCTGGCCACATTTACAAAAACATTAAGATACAGAACTGGCTCGACTTCCAGTTCATCAGGGACATGATGTCCCTAAAGAGATTGAACCCTCAGCAGGAGATTTCCACCACCGTCTCATAGAATGATGACTTTTGGCATTTTCCATACACATTTTTCAATGTGAAATGAACTGAGACAAGCCACGTGAAGCCCACCTGTCTCCCTGGAGACCCGGAGTTGCTGGCCATTGCAGAAGGCCCCCTGGCCCCTCCGGCCCGTGTACAGCCGCTCCTCTGTGCAGTGGTAAATCACTCCAAATTCGAGCTGTGGGACACAGGGGCAGGACAGAAAACAAACTCGGTTCACTCACTTGACACAGAAAGTAACACACAATTCAAAGGGGAAGGTGCTCCAGATGTTACAGCTGCTGCAAGCACAACGTGATACAAATGGCCTTTCAAAAGGGAATTGAAAAATCAGCATCTAGATTCAAAACTAGGTCTGGACATAAAGCTAACTTTCTCTTTTTAAATAACTATATTTAAAACTATATTAAAACTATATTAAAAATTAACATCATAATCAAGCATTAATAAGTAAAAGTTATTGAAAATGCTTAATTCTTTACATAGCCCTCTTTTTTCTCTTTTTCTGGGGTGACTCTAATCCAACCCCACAAAAAACCCTCAAAACTGCTGATGTGTGAAGAATTAAGAATGCATCTTTAAAGCCAACAGAATCACAGAACCCAAGGACAGCCCCAGGAAGAGAGAGGTGGTCACCAAAGAGGGGCTCATCCCTGAGCCGGCGGCTCCCTCAACAGCAGGCAGACAGCACACAGCAGGTGACAAAGGCCCTGGACGACAGTCTCCCAGGAAGGCACGGGAAGGCACGGTAGAAAGAAGAGGCGCGCATGGAAACAATGCTGCCTTACTCCCCACACGTTTCTGTTGCCTTTCCTCTACCGGCTGCTCATTCAGGGTTAATAATGGCTAGTGTGCTTGGTTGGGGGCTTAGCCAAGCGTCCGTCTCTCTGGAAAATGAAGACAGACCCAGGCCAAATGCCTTAGGAACGTCTCGGCCAGCCCGGGGTGAGCACAACCACAGTGGAATGGACTCCCTGACCTGCAGGAATGGGGTTTATTTCTGGGGAGGATCGCTCGGTCAGCACTTACAGAGAGCCTACACTTTCCAGCAATACTTATCTGTCCTTCCTCCTCCCTTTCCACTGCCCTGGCTTTCACAGGGTTCCCAAATCCGGGTCAGTCCTAGAACCCCGCTGGCCTCTGAGACCCTGTGGTGCGGGCCTTGCAGCCCTGGGGCAGGCAGGCGGCCGGGAGGCCTCTGCTGGCAGGAAGGAAGGGTGAGGAACGGTGGGACGCTCCCCTTGACGAGGGGCCCTCCATTACAAGCCGGGACCCCCTGTGTGCAGTCACACACACCAGACCCAGCACAGGCGGCCGGCCTCGCCATCGTGACTTTGCCATTGAGACCTTGCCGGCTGCAGCATTTTTGTCCCCCACCCCCACCCCACCCACATGAGGTCATGAGCATCACCCACTGAGCTTACGGCTCAACCTCCCACTCCGTCTCTATGACAACCTTTAACAGAGAAACAAGTGAGCAATTAACTAACTCCTTAACCAAATTTCAATATTAAAGTTCTCACTTATCTTCAACGTAAGTACTTTTACACAGGTATAAACTTCTCAGTTTCCATACTAGGGAGTCTGCTAACATTGAGGATTAAGATGAGACAACAGTGTTCTAAAGGAAGATTGTCTTTGAAAAACACCGAGCCCCAGTCCTATGTAAATAAAACTGTAGTAATTACAAAGAAATTAAGGCTTTTCCTAAGTGTTACTGCCTTTTATGCAGGTCCTATAATATTGCTTAGTTCCGAGGATCTATGGGAATCCTGAAACAGCCACGTTCTCATCCTAACAGCTAGAGGAGATAAAGAAGAATTAATAGAATATTAGGATTAAAAATGTCCTCCAAAAATAGGAGTTCCTTTTGAGTGTGACTAGATCACACGCCCCAGGGGTCAGATGGAGACTAACTCGGACCATTTGCTCAGAACTTCCCCCTCCACAGCAGCGTCACAAAAAGACCACAGTGGAAACAAGGGCCAGCCATGGTGGGGTGAGGGCCGGCCATGGAGCCCCAAACCTACACACCCCCAAACAGGTTTGCATTTGTTTACTTCCTCAGATTTGAAAAACACATACTTGGATTTACTAGTCATGATTAAGGCACATGACAAAGAGAAAAACAGGAATGTAGAGGTTGAAACCAAACAGGAAGATGACTAAAGGAAGCCTGGAGCCCTGGGGACCCCAAGGGGTTTGGGGGCCGCCGGCCCTGGGGCCCCACCCACCACGCACCTCTTGGTTCACAGCAAATCCAATGCTTACTGCCACAGTTGGAAATCTGCAAAAGAAAACAGAATGGTTTCCACTCTAAAACATAACTGGTCTTTACCAACATGGAAACTCTTAGGAGTCTCTGTGTGGCTGTGTAGCATCGTCACTCAAGGCAAAGAAGGACCTTTCTACAGTGTGAGTGTGTTTGCTTTTTTAAAAAACTACTTCCCACAATTTCACTAACTGCTTTCAAAGACAAACAGGTTTAGCTGACCATGTTGTAAGATAGTCGACCCAGAAAGAAAGCAGTATTCTGAAAATCACGTAAGATTGATGTAATTCAACAATGACCATCCAGTACCCAATTGAGAGAGATTTTAATAATCAGCTTTCTGGTTCTGAGAGACGGCCAAAAAGGGCAGACCTATGTCCCAGGCGGGGTGAGAGGGCCCCCAGGAGGTACCATTGCAGGCCCCAGGCCACAGCCTCCACCTAGAGGCCAGGTCTGGGTGACAACGACACCCCTCCTCGTCCCGTCTCCTGCGTGAGCTCCCAAGCAGCCAAGAGCAGGCACGGGCCATGGCAGTGGAAGGCCAGTTGTGATGTCGCAGTTTGCTTGGGGTTTGATTTTGTGATTTTGTTGTTGCTGCTCCTCATCTTCAAAATAAACTCTCTTTTATGTGAAGATCATCAGAGCTTAACAACAAGTAGGAACAAGGGAAGCCTGGGTACAGCTAACTTACAGGAAAACTATGAAACCAGTCATACACGGACCTGAACCCTGAGCGAGGTGGCAGCCACGTGCACTGCCATCACCAGTGGCTGGCTTACGAGTAAGTACACCATGCGCCAGGCTCGGCTTTAGTTCCAACTCTCAGAAGCGCTCTCTTCCACTTGCTTTAGTCCCGACTCTGCTGGACACAGAATGAACAGGCCATACCTGAACTGCAGTGGCCAAAGGCTTCCAGATGTCTTTAGGCCACGAGGATTGCTACAGCTGTGGCCCTCAGTGGTGTTCTAGAACTGTAAGGGTCAGTACCACAGCTTCTTTTCCAAATAATGCCCTTCTGCAAGTTGTGTCTCTGGACCCACATTCCCCTCGGCCCTGGGGCCACCAAAGCCACGAAAGACACTCAGGTGGACGTGTGGCCTTCACCATACAACGAGGCTCAGCCACCCTGCCCCCACAAGCACACTGGAATGACGAGCAAGACAGAGTAACAGGCGCTCCATTGAGCAAAGCACACCTGAGAGGGAGACCTGTGATTCCATGTGAACTCCCCAGGGGAGCGTCACACTTGAGGTAAAACTGTCGTCTGGTGACCCTGTTGCTATCACCAGATGGCACTATTCCATTGCCTCAAAAGGGCCACCTGTGTGGGCATGACTGACTGAATTCCCAAGACAACCCACTTTAAGAAAAGGGTGATGATTAACATGATACATTGGAATTACTTTACATACTTACAAACAAACCTACCACTTGAGGCAAAACATAGAGGACAGCACGAAGAGCGAACCCCGTAACCTGGCTCTGCTCACACTTTCTCACTTGAAGTAAGGAACCGGACTGTTTCCTAGTCATCTACGGTAGGGGTCCAGCTGTGCTGGCATGGCCTTCGAGCTTGTGGGGAATGCAGATCCACCGGCCACCCCAACCGACTGAATGGGAGCCTGGGGCTGGGCCAGGAACCTGTGTGAACCAGCTTTCCGGGGGCTCTACATGGGTTGAAGTCAGAGAACCACCCTCTGTGGAAATCACATCACTTTCTGTGCCCTTGGGTCCCCAGACTAGCCGGTACAGCTCTGACACCCACCCCACTAGTCAGAGCTTCTGGGGCCAGGGCCACGTCCCTGCCACCTCCCTGAGCTCTTCTGCTCACTTCCCCTCCCCCGAGAGCCCCTATGACCTTAAAACCTACTGCTTTTTGGCTGCCGTTTGCCCAGTCAGATAAGGCCCAGCCAGCTGCCAGTGGGTTCCTCATCCCGTCTCATGGCGACATGAGGTTTGCTCCCGTCTCTGAAGACAGCTCTGGAACGTCACCCCTCACGTGCCACTGTCTACACCTCGTGTTCCTGCAGCTGCTGAGCCACACACGCTTGTTTTAACCCCACTTGTTTCTCCAGGGGGCCTCCTCAAGGGGTCTTTCTTAATTCAACCAAACATTTTAAAGATAACAAACACAACGGTTTTTACACAAGTGCAGATTTCCTACATGTTCTGAGAGTATCTCACAAATGGAAAAATCTTATTTTAAAAATATCAAGACTTGATCACCTTTTTGATGAGACTATAAACCTACTAGAGGTTTGCTTATATACTTCTGTCTCAAAAAACACTGCTTTGGAAAAGACCCAGTCTTGGAGAAGAGAACAGTTTAGGCTCTAGAATGAGGGTGGCCCTCACATGCTCACCTGTGCACAAAGTTGCAGGTGCCGTCAATGGGGTCGACGATCCAGGTGGGGCTGGGGGTGAGCACGCACTTGGCCCCGGCGGCCGCAGCCTCTTCTGCAATGAACCTGTGGTGGGCAGGAGCTCAGCCTGAGAAAACGCACCAAGAACTCAAGACAAAGCGCTTCAAACTGCTCGGTCCCGTCACAGACAAAGCAGACACAGTGAAGAGATTTCATTATGGCTTCTCGGGTCAAAACGACGCAGAGTCTGTAAGACCTTCTGCTTTTCCATCTGTCTGCTAGTCTACTCACGCAGCAGGATTCAGAAAACGCAAAGTGACATCTCGATTCAGGAGTTGTGGAAAAGCAGCAGGGAGAAACACAAGAATGAAGAACACTGGGGACACATCTGACAAAGCAAAGCTACGTTCTGCTTTAACCTGAGTCTGGAGGAGAGAAGGCCGAGCACAGACGAGAGAAGAGCACGAGGACACTGGCCAGGGCGCAAGGCCCAGGACTTGGGTTCAGCTCTCCACTAGCAGGGCTGTGGCCTGAGGCAGACTGTTTCACTGGACCCTGAGGCAGACTGCTTCACTGCACCTGAGGGAAGGCGTTAAAAGTGACCCACAGCTGACACCTCCCAGGTCTGCACCCAGCTGGCCTCCCCCTGAACTGCAGACAAGGTGACAACTGCATCCATGTGTACCCACCCCCACCATTCGGGCTCCATGGGAGCTGACAGGTCTCCACAGAGGCCCTCTCTACCCGGGTCTCTGGCCTAGGAGCCCCGGGCAGGCCACACCTATGGGGCACTCCTGCCCCCTGAGAACCCAAGAGAAAGGAGAAAGCACGAGGAGAGTGAAGGTAGGATACTCGCCCGCTCCCTCTCTTCGAGTGCCCCCCACTCACCAGGAAAAGCCTCCACTCCTCCCTTCTCCTCCAGGCTCTGATACCCCCCATCAGCCTGCTCCCAGCCCCAGGCGTGCACCACAGTACTGGGCCTCATTCCTGGCCCCTCCTTTGTAATGAGTTCTCCGTAGACAAGCCCTCCTGGAACTACCCTCGCTTGAGTGGGCCATCTCTTTCCTGTTAGGAATCTGAACAAGACAACCAACATCTCAAAATTAACCTGCGCAAAAGGGAGCTCCCGGGTGTCTCCATTCACGTCTATCTCAGCAAAGGGCACTGCCAGGTACCCAGCTGCTCAGACCGAAAACTAGGGAAGCATCCTTAATTATTCTCTCTTGTCCTCCTCCCTCCCATAACCAGCCACACAGGCTCAGCACAGCTCAGTGAGGATCATTGGGCAGTGGTTTGTGCATCACAGCCACCGCCTACAAGCTGGGGTCCCTGCAGAGCGGGCCTCTGCCTACACCTCCTGGAGGTGATCTCAGGAGTGAAGAACATATTCCACCTAAAGCAGACAGGATGGGGCTTGGCACACAGAATGCTCGGTACCTGCTCTTTATTGTCTTGGAACACACTCAGGGTCACCAAGGGTAGGGCCTCTGCCCTGTGCACTGCCTTGTCACCAGGACCTGTCTATGACAGGCACCGAGCAAACATCTGTTTTATGCGTGACTACAAGGCCTTACAGAGGGGTTTTCTATTAGGTTCTCATGCATGTCCACATCTGTACTAGAGGAAAATGGAGACAAGAAGATAATACATTTTTACCAAGAAGGAAGAATGAGTGAAAAACAAGAAATGCTTCATGTCCTACTGATGGCATTTGGTGTGTTGTCAATCATGGTCATCAGGCAGCTGTTTAGCCCGTGAAGAGGTCAGAGCGTGGGGCAGGTTGCTCCCCCTCAGCCTCAAGGCACCCCTGGAAACCACTTTCCCCAGAGGAACCACATGTCCTAAGATATGGCATCAACGAACTGCAGATAAGACTGACATCACAGTATAAATGAAAAGATTGAAAATGGAAACCTCTGTAACTGCTCTGCAATAAAGGAGCCACTAGCCACATGTGGCTGTTTAAGTTTAAATAATTTAAACTAAATAAAATTTTAAAAAATTAAAAAGTCAGTTTCTTAGTCTCACTAGCCACATTTCAAGTGCTCACTAGTCACATGGGCTAGAGGCTAGCACAGTGGACAGTGCAGACAGAATGTTTCTGTCACTGCAGGAGGTTCTGTGGGCCAGTGCTGTCCTCGTCTGTAACACTGTGAAATAACAAGTGCCTTGCATTCTGATGTCACTTTTCAGTCGATACAGTGCTGTCATATACACTGTAATTCATCTGGTCCCCCAACAACTCTGGGCCCATCATTTCCATTTCACAGACTATGAAATTCATGCTCAACAGGCACACACAGTCATTATAAATTACCTGAAATACATCAGTGTATATGATGAGTGCACATATATCATTTTCAGGTTGGTGTTTCCACCCCCTCCTCCCCACCCACCGTGGTCCCCTGGAGACACCGATGCAGAAGCAGGCAAAGCACTGGCGTTGGAAAGCACTGTGTGAGACACCTGAGAAACCCACACCCTAAAAAATCGCAGCCGTGCAGAGAAAGCCTGGGTAAACACAACCTGCCCCCAGAAGCTTACAATCTACTGGGCAGACCAGATGCAGTGGACGCTGGTTCCTTGCATCTGTCTGCTCTGCATCCCCTCCTCCTGCGGGAAATGCCTCCCTACCATCATTCCCCTCCACGGGCTTTTGGATCATTTGGGTCACGGGATCCAGGCAGGCGAGTCTAGAGGGAACAAACAGTGCGGTGAAAGACACGAAATCAGGGCAGCCAGGCCGGGCAGGGTGCGGCCAGGCGGTGAGGCCCGAACTCCTGACTACAGCAGAAATGCAGGTGATGTGCATAAAGAATTTCTCCACTCGCTGATGATGGTACATGGCATTAACTCTGCCAGTTTTCTTAGCCAAAGACTCAAAGAATTAAATCTGTTTTCAACGGCTTCTTCTGTAGCTACATGATTTTCCTCCGCTGAAATGGCTTGCGATTATGTTTTTAAAGAAAAGTGTCCACACCCTAAAAACACACACATACAAGGACCAAGTGCCAAAGCTTCAACTGGGCACAAGGTCGATAAAGCAGTGAGAGGACATTACTAAGGTCAAGAAAGGAATGGAAATGACTCACCTACAAAGATCAGTTCCCACGAAACTGAGGAGGAATGTGGAGTTTTTTTCCTTTTTAAACCTGATTTTAAGTGGGAAGCTGGTACGTACTCGAGTTGGAGGGGAAGTTGCTGGGGTCTCCTGGAAGGAAGAGGAAGAGCCTCTCACAGGACTGACTTCTAACACGCGTGCCAGAGAGCACAGCCCACAGCACAAAGGTCTGCACTCGGCCCTCTGGGGGTGCTCTCAGGACACGCAGGGCCACATCAGCCGATGTGGGGGAGAGTCTATGGGCTTCACCAAGCAGCTTGCTCTGCGGCTGCCCCAATCATGCTTCCCTTGACACAGCTTTTGTTCTGCACAGTGTTTCTCAGGGGAATAACTCAAAGCGCCCACATGGAGCCCTGGACTTGCTTAGCAGTTGACTGTTCACGCCCGAGAGTTCTCCTCCTCTTTACCCAGCTGCCTGAGTCAAAGGAGATGAAGAAGATCCATCACCTCCCCACTCACTGCCTGCCTGTGGGCGGCACTCTGAGGAAGGGGTCCATGGGACCTCGTGGGACCACGTCTACTCTTCAGGCACCAAATACACCTCCCTGGTATGTGGGGAGGGATGTAGAGTTTTTAGTCACTTAAACCTGATTTTCCTTGTATGGGAAGCTAATACCTACAGAATGGGAGAGAACATTCTTCAGCTCTCTGCAGATGGAGTGGGGACATCAACTTGGACAAACGGAAGTATGAAATAATAAAGACCTTAATAAAAGCATTGGAACATCTATATAAAATCCATAACACTGGGCCGGCCCTGTGGCTTAGCGGTTAAGTGCGCACACTCTGCTACTGGTGGCCCGGCGTTCGGATCCTGGGCGCGCACCAACGCACTGCTTCTCCGGCCATGCTGAGGCGGCGTCCCACATACAGCAACTAGAAGGATGTGCAACTGTGACATACAACTATCTATTGGGGCTTTGGGGGGTGGGGAAGGAGGAGGATTGGCAATAGATGTTAGCTCAGAGCTGGTCTTCCTCAGCAAAAAGAGGAGGATTAGCATGGATATTAGCTCAGGGCTGATCTTCCTCACAAAAAAAATAAAATAAAATAAAATAAAATCCATAACACCAATAGAAAAAAAACAATGCACGTGACTAAATTTATGGAGCTCAAGGGACATTTCATAAGCCTGTCTAATGTACAGGAGGAAAAGAGCAGCTGGTGGTAAGGTTAAAAGCATGGTAACAAATTAGAACGATACATTCTGCTGCATAATTTAACTACTTCCCTTTTTTTCCTAATAGTTGTAACAAAATCTCCTTATAATTTTGATGGCCAAGTGCATCTAGGCCTTTTTTTCCTGATTAGTGTGTTTATCCTGTGATAAGGTCAGGGTCACCTTTCAGTCCACCAAGGAGCCAGGTGACGTTCCTAGGCCTCACCTTCTCAAGCCACAGCCCGACCCCTGCCAGCATCACAGCAGACATAGCGCCCAGAACAAAACACAGTGGGAAAACAACCGAAAGCAAGCGTCCAGCTGGCGGTGGCCAGGAACACATTTTTTCCAAGTCCAGGGCACACTAGACACACTGCAGGGCACAGGGGTCACCCTGATGGACGAGGCCATGTCCCTACAAGGGGGACCCAGACCCGGGCAGAGGAGGCAGCTGTGTATACGGAGCAGCTCAAGCGGCTGTCCTCCTGCCTCTGCCTGTGCCACCCAGACAAAAGGGACAAGGACGGGCTGTGTATGAACACGGTTCAGTGAGGCTACCGAATACCTTCAGTCGCTAAACCTGGATCTCACTCAAAATCATCACTGAAAACAGGTTTAGGCACCAACAAAGGCAGGCCTGGCTGGAGACTGAGCTAATGTGGTCAATGCCCACACTGTCTTCAAAGACCTGACCTGTGACACGCTCACCTTGACCTGCTGGTCTGCTTTCTGTCGTTATCACTGTAGGTCAGCACTAGTGTTGGAGCCGCAGGGATGGCCCTGGTAGGGCCCCGCATTCCCAGGTGAGGAGACTGAGACCCTGAGAAGTGGAGGGATTTGCCGCAGCTGAGGGCAGAAGCAAGTCTAAACCTTACTATTCTTTGATTCAGTCTACGCCTGTCTTCCAGATCAGGAATCCAAACTTCGGGTTTCACAAGTGAGTAAAATAAAATACTAAAACCAGGGAGCCTACATCAGCTTGTTTCTTATTTTATTAAAAATAAAATAGTTGCAGGGCCGACCCGGTGGCGTAGTGGTTAAGTTCGCCCACTCTGCTTCGGTGGCCCGGGGTTAGCAGGTTTGGATCCCAGGAGTGGACCTATGTACCACTATCAAGCCATGCTGTGGTGGCATCCCATACACAAAATAGAGGAAGATGGGTACAGATGTTAGCTCAGGGCTAATACTCCTCAGCAAAAAGAGGAAGACAGGCAATGGACATTAGCTCAGGGCCGATCTTCCTCAAAAAAGGAGGAAGATCCAAAAACCAAAAACCAAAAAAAAAAAATAAAATAAGTAAAATAAAATAGTTGCACTCTATCTTTTAATATTGTTTCGTGAAAGTCTAAAAATGAGGAAGAGCATAAGTTCGAAATGAAAGTTGCTCCTAAAAAGGATGATAGGCAACCTTATGCTAACTTATTGTTTAAGGGAGATACTTAAATACTCTGAAAGCAGAAAAATTACAACATACTATTTTATTTTACAACATGTATGCAATTTTTCTCATCACAAATTTATCAATTTGTCTATGATCTAAAATACAATTAGGGCTGGCCCCGTGGCTTAGCGGCTAAGTGCGCGTGCTCTGCTACTGGCAGCCCAGGTTTGGATCCTGGGTGCGCACCGACGCACCGCTTCTCCGGCTATGCTGAGGCCGCGTCCCACATACAGCAACCAGAAGGATGTGCAACTGTGACATACAACTATCTACTGGGGCTTTGGGGAAAAAAAAGGAGCAGGATTGGCAATAGATGTTAGCTCAGAGCCAGTTTTCCTCAGCAAAAAGAGGAGGATTAGCACGGATGTTAGCTCAGAGCTGATCTTCCTCACAAAAAATAAAATAAAATAAAATACAATTAAATGCCCCCAAATTCTGGTGCTTTCTTTTAAATCTTAGTCATTGGCAAAAAAACAAACTTGACATATATTTGTTGAAAAATGATTTCATCTTTTTGAATTTTCTAGGCAAACTGAGCAGAGAGTAGGAGCAGTGACATCCAGCCTTTGGCCTCATCCCGACACTGTGTTCAGGGCCACGAAGGAAGTGGTGGCAAAGGGCTGGGGGCTGACCACAGGGCAACCAAGTCTTGAGCCTCACAGCGTGGCTGGCGCTAGCTTCTGGACTGCAGTTTGGGAACCACTGCTCTAAATCACCGATTCCTGGTCAGATGTGGCATCTGCATCTCCCAGGGCTTTTTCAGAGATGGAGGCCTGATATTAGTGGGTTGGACAAGTTCCCAGGTGGGCCTGATGTACATCCTAGGTAGGGTCCACTGCTCTGGGCCGACACATTGACATTTATCTTGTGATATACAGCAATGAATATTTATTTATTATTATTATTATTTGTGTGTGTGTGTGTGTGTGTGCGCGCGCGCACGGGTGTGTGTGAGAGAAAGACTGGCCCTGAGTTAACACGTGCGCCAATCGTCCTCTATTTTGTATATGGGACGCCGCCACATCATGACATGATGAGCGGTGTGTAGGTCCACATCCAGGATCTGAACCCGCAAACCCTGGGCCACCAAAGCAGAGCGCACGAAATTAACCACTATGCCAGCAGGCCAGCCTCTTAATTTTTTTTTTTTTATTGAGGTAGCACTGGTTTATAACATTATATAAATTTCAGGTGTACATCATTATACTTTGATTTCTGTGTAGACTACATCATGTTCACCACCCAAAGACTAATTACCATCCATCACCATACACATTCAAGTCTTTAATCCATTTTGAGTTAATTTTTGTGTATGGTATAACATAATGGTTTACTTTCATTCTTTTGCATGTGGCTGTCCAGTTTTCCCAACATCATTTATTGAAGAGACTTTCCTTTCTCCATTGTATGTTCTTGGCTCCCTTGTCGAAAAGTAGCTGTCCATAGATGTGTGGGTTTATTTCTGGGCTCTCAATTCTATCCCATTGATCTGTGTCTGTTTTTGTGCCAGTACCATGCTGTTTTGATTACTATAGCTTTGCAGTATATTTTGAAATCAGGGAATGTGATACCTCCAGCTTTGTTCTTTTATTCTCAGGATTCCTTTGGCTATTCTGTGTCTTTTGTTGTTCCACATAAATTTTAGGATTCTTTGTTCTATTTCTGTGAAAAAATGTCTTTGGAACTTTGGTAGGGATTACAGCAATGAATATTTAAATTTACCTCATACAAAAGGAACCCACCATACTGATATCATAGTGGATCCAAACCAGGAGCAACTGCTGTCCACACATACAAGAGGGCGGGCGATTTGAGAATTTGGTTTGTCAGAGTAATCTGACTGAAAAACGCCAGAAGCCCTGATAATGCCATTATGCCTAGTCTTGCAGTGCCCTCAAGGTCTTTACCAGGACCCTACTCGGCTGGTCCAGCCCTCACTTCTGTCATAGCCACCTGGACCGATCTCACCAAAACCTTGGGTACCAAAATAGTTCCTCAATCAGAAACAGCTGGTTGGTTACTGTAGCCTTTTTCCTCTCAAAGACTAAAAGCAATCTATATAGTCCTTTTGACATTGCCATTTAATTTAGATTTAAACGATTTTAAAAGTTAAATAATCATAAGCATTTTAGAGCTTATAAATGTAACAGATGTCAAGGATCCCGACTTCACTGAATAAGGAAATAGGAAATAATAGATGCTCAAACACAAAGGTTGTCAACAAAACAAACACAACATATTGGCAGAGAGAATTTCTAAGGGAGAGTTGGTGACCTTGAGATAACCTAACCAGTTAGAAGGAAACAACAGGGGAAAAAGGGGGGTAAATTTGAACACTGGTTTGTCCTTTCCTTCGCTTAATTATTCACAGCGAAAAAAAGCTATGGTGCCTACCCTGTGCTAGATGGATGCTGAGGGAGACTGCCTATGTGTTTCTGCCGCATAAGTACAAACATGGAATCTGACCTTTACAATGATCTATACCCAGAAATCCAACAACTGGTATTCCAGCTTTAGCAATTCTCCATAAGGAAAGAAAGAGATCCCTTGCATCCAAGGCAGTGGTTTTCAAACTCTGTTTTGCAGAACTCTGGGGGTGAGGGAGGGGCCTGAGGAGCCCCCAGAGCTCAAGGAGAGTCTTCCTCTAGAGTCTAAGGCTCCCTTGGAACTAGGTGCAAAATGCTGTGTAAATATTTGAACTTTTCCAAGGAAAAGATTAATAGCTTGCATCAGCTTCTCCACACAGTGATCTCAAAAGGGTTAAGAACTTCTGCTCCAGAAAAGAGCAAGGTGGGATCCTCATAAAGGCCTTCCCTGTCGCACGCTTTGGCCTGGCGAGGGGAGACTGCGTCACTGAATACCAGCAGGGGCACACCATCAGGCGGTGGACCTGGGTCCACGCAGCTGATGGCGCCATTCTGGGTCACATCCTTCTTGGAGAGTCTGCGTGGGGCCACCAAGCAGACACAGGCTGCTAGGGGACACTAATGCTTCAAATTCTTCCAGAAATACGCAAAGTGGCTTAGTAGAGGGAAGCAGGGCGCTCCCCCCGAGCATGTGTTGTGGAAAGTGGAGCCTTTTCACTGTCTATAATGTAATATATTGACATGAGGGTTGTCAAGATGATAGTAAAAGGAATGAAAACTAGGACCTGTTTGTTTACCATGCAGTCGAAGTATCAGGGGGCAGGCCATGAGGCTTCCTGTTTTATGTCTGCCCCCATGACCAATGGTGCAGCCTCCGGGGTTGGACCCTGGCCGTCTTCAAGAACAGGGCAATGTGTTACTGGGATGTTTTCCCTGAGAAATACACCTACCTATGCGAAGGAAACCTCTTCTGCAGCTCAGAAATAATTAAATCTTCCACAAGGTGATCCGTTTCTGTCACAAGATCCGCAGCTGATGTTTTTGTTGAAACATGTTTTTCCTCAGAAAGGGCTTTTCTGATGATCTGAAATAAAAGTACGAGAGGTCGGTTAAGCTGACAAGCATTCTCCTCCCCCAGACAAATGAGCTCTCCCCTCCTGTGGGGCCAACTCTGAATTTGGCGTGCGTTGGGGAGGGGCAGTGAGCATGGGTCTGTGGATCACTGACTTCCATCGTGACAGGCCTTCAGGAAATATTACACCCAAGCCTTTCTGTTTGGGTTTCTAGTGAGCCTTAACTTCTACTCTTCTTTTTACAAGACAGACTTACTTGTTGAAGTTACTTTGTCCTACCTGTGGGACAATTTTTCTTTGAGGGAAAAGAAACACATAGTGGTCTTTTTTTTTTTTGTGAGGAAGATCAGCCCTGAGCCAACATCCATGCCAACCCTCCTCTTTTTGCTGAGGAAGACCGGCCCTGAGCTAACATCTATTGCCAATCCTCCTCCTTTTTTTTCCCTTTTTCTCCCCAAAGCCCCAGTAGATAGTTGTATGTCATAGCTGCACATCCTTCTAGTTGCTGTATGTGGGACGCGGCCTCAGCATGGCCGGAGAAGTGGTGCGTCGGTGCACGCCTGGGATCCGAACCCGGGCCGCCAGTTGCGGAGTGCGCGCACTTAATGGCTAAGCCACGGGGCCGGCCCCCACGTAGTGGTCTTGAAGAGCACAGAACTTCATCCAATGTAAAATGAGGTAACATACCTTTCCCCCACAGAGTCCCATGAATTTGAATTTATGAGATTTCAGTGTAAAAACTTCTCCCTAATTCACTTTACGAATCATATGAAACGGAATATGTCTTTGAACCCAGATGACAAATGTTCAAACTGAGACAGCTGGGAAAGCTAAAATGTACTTCAAGGACACAAAGCCAGGCTCTCCTTGCTGCTCTGGGTCAGGGCATCACTGACTGTCCAGGGGGCACATGCACATGAACTGGCTTTGGTGCCAAGCATCCTCCCTGAGCCCACAGGGCTGAGCTCTCAGGCGCTCCACAGTGTGTGAGCTGCCAGCACATCCGGTCTAAACCCACTGCGGCTAAATATAGGGGCGAGGAACAGAGGGCACCAGATCTCCAGTACCTCCCACCAGGCCTAATCCAGCTCCAGGAACCCCTGAGAGACCCAAACAGGAAGGCGTGTGGAGTGGTTAATCAGTCACAGGACACTTCGGGAAGGATCAGTTCTATTTTGTGAAATAAAAAGCACCCCTACCCCAGCGTGGGCCTTTCTTCTTCATTTCTGTCCACTGTAACAACTCGATGTCTCCCTTACCATGTGACATTTCAGGACACCTAAAAACCACTTCAGACCTTTCCTCCAAAACTGGCTACCACTGCAAGATCCTGCATTTCCTTCCAAAGCACCATCAATCGCTCAGCTACTCAGACTTGACATCCTTTCCCCATCGTGATACTTATTCTCCAACCTTAGATAAGCGTTTCCTGAGTGCCCTTCCCTGTCCAGCCTGTGCTATGCACTAACAGTGCTGAAGGGGAGGAGGGCAGACGAGATTCACCCGGAGTCTGCAGAGAGGAGGAGATGCTCACGTGGACTTTTAAAGAATAAGCAGGAGAACCCCCTAGACATGGAGCAGGTCCCCTTCTTATGTTTCTCACATAGTCCCCCATCCTAGTGCTGGCCCAAATAATACTGAGCCTAGACAGGTTTTGTTTGTTTTTTTCGTCTTGGTTGCAAAGATAACAGATACATATTACAGAAAATTTGGAGTATAATGTATTTTGTAAATAATATAAAAGACAAGGCATAGCAGTCATGTATGATCCATTAACTAAAGACAGTCTCATTCATCTTTCTGGGCAGCCACCTGGGGCCTTCCTGTCCCTTCTATTTGCAACATCCTGCTCACCACTATCAGGTTAATCTTCAAACACCAGTTTACACAGCAAGCTTTCACCAAATGAACCTCCACAGGTTCCTCGTTTATAAATTTCAAACTCCTCAAATCTAGCTCATGTAGCACCTGCCCTGTCCTCCAGGAATCTCTAAATTATGAGCTAGTCCAGACCTCCTGTCCACAGGTCATTTGGCAGGGAGCTTGTATCTTGCATGGCAATTCAGTGTGGGTGTGGGGGTGGATGGAGTCTATGTGGTATGTAGATATGGTTTATATGTGTGTAGCATGTGTGATGTGTATGTAACGTGTGGTAGAGTGTGTGTGCAGTTTATGTGGTGCGTGTGGGGGTATGGTGTGTGTGTATGCGTGGTATGTGTGTATGGTTTACATGTGTTTGTGGTTACATGTATGGGTGGGGTATGTATGCATATAGTTAGGGAGGAGGAGAGAGGAAGGTACCCTAACCAGAGGGCACGCCACCAGAGCTTCTCAAACTTTAATGTACGTGAGTGACCTGGGGACTTGTCGAAGTGAAGACTGGTTGAGGAGCTGTGGGTTTTGGGGTCTTTGCATATTTTTGACAAGTTCTGTCATGACACCAATGCTGGGGGCCACATTTGAGGGCAGCAGGGGCTGGAGCAAGTTCTCAAACCCCAGAGTAAGGAAGGGTGTTCAGGAGGCTGGGATGGTCCGACTGGGCACCACACGTGAGTCCTGGGCCTCCTCCCTGAGAGGACACAGGCTTCCTTTTACACTTCCCCCTATTCTCACCTGTGTGGTAAGCATTCACACAATTAAAGGCCATGATTCCAACCATCTACCTTGTAGTCTGCGTGCAGAAGCTCGATTGATGATTTTTAAACATAGATCAGCTTGCACCACTTTAACGCTTAGAACTACCCAATGGCTTCCCATTGCTCTTAGAACAAAGCCCCAGATCCCACATGACCAGGCCCTCGCCGCCGCCAATCTCACCTCCCACAGGCCACCCCCACGCTCACTCTCCTTCCACCACCCTGGTTTTCTGGCTGATCCTAACCAAATTTGTTTCTGCCCCAGGGACTTGATAGCTTCTGGTCCTTCTGTCTAGAAACTTCTCACCATCTGCAATCATCTTGTTTGTTTTGCTGTTGATGGTATGCCTCTCCCCACCAGCACACGAGCTCCAGGAGAGCAGAGTGCGCTCTCTTTTGTTCCCTGCCACTCTCCTAGCATCTACTCTACATGTGGCACAGAGTAGGTGCACAAAATTCTTTGAATCATGAATCAAATACACTTCAGACAGTTTGAATAGATTCTGCGCCATTTTCTCCAACCAGCTCACTGACCACCTTGGTCTTTTTGTTTTGCTTCATTGTTTTCTGTCCTGTTAAAAAGCTCTGATGTGGGCCGGCCCCGTGGCTTAGCGGTTAGGTGCGCGCGCTCCGCTGCTGGCGGCCCGGGTTCGGATCCCGGGCGCGCACCAACGCGCCGCTTCTCCGGCCATGCTGAGGCCGCGTCCCACGTACAGCAACTAGAAGGATGTGCAGCTATGACATACAACTATCTACTGGGGCTTTGGGGGAAAAAATAAATAAATAAAATTATTAAAAAAAAAAAAGTTCTGATGTGCTTCAAGGCTGTCACCCTCTAGCCACCATCCACTAGTCCTACCTCCTGGAGCCAGCGTGAATCCGCCTCATGGCACACAAACCCATTCTCCACACCACATCCAGATGAGCTTGCTAAAACCCTGATCTTAATCATGCATCTCCCCAACATAAAGCAATTCATGGCTCCCTATTACTCCAAGGATAAAGTCAAAACCCGTGAAGGTGGCATACGTTGTAGCCCAGATAATTTGACCACCAGTCTCGTCTTCTTCCTTTTAGAAACAGAAGCCCCAAGTCTACCAAGGCAGAGCCACCTCGGCAGTCACCTGCGCCTTTAGTGCAGGTAGGTGTGGCCTTGTGACCAAGTTCTGTCCAAAAGCATATAAATGGAAGTGATTTATGCAACTTCTGAGTCAGATCCCTAAAAGGTGCACTGTTTGCACTCCACTTCCTCTTGTCGTTTTCCCCTTTGCCACCGGCTGTGACATGGTTGTGGTGGTGAGAGGTCAGCTTTGGTCACGTGGGAAGAGACTACCACCTTAGAGGAACAAGCAAGAAGGCACCTGGGCCCGAGTGACTTTGGGAAGCAGAGCCTACTCCCCAGACCTCTAACTGGACTTCTAAGTGAAAAAGAAAGAAACCTACCTTGCTTCTGTCATTGGTCTTTATGAAGGAAGCCAACCCATCAACCTAATAAAGGCCTAACCTAAACTTACTTTCTCATCCCGCTCCAGGACTGATATGCTCCAGCCAAAAGGAATCATTCGCCTTAGAGTCTCCTTCCGACAGAACTGCCAGCCTTCCTCTGGCCCGTTTGTTCTCTTCCTTGGTGACTCAGTTCAAATGTCACCTCCTCTGTGAGAAGTTTCCAACTTCTTCGGGCAGAGCAGGGCATTCACCCCTTAAGTGTACTCCTAGGGCACTTATGCAAACCATACAACTGGCCCCTTGGGATTCCACGTCAGTCCACTCCTCATTAAGGACCCTCGTCTGTCCTATTTGTGTATCCCACAGGTGGATTTTGCAGCCTGTACAGGGGCTGCCACACAGTAGAGTCTCAGTGAACATCTGCTGAATGAATGAATGAAGATTTCTTGGCTGCCACACACAGCTCATAGATAACTAAAATCTGGAAGACTTTTAAACAAGTGCTCTTGTGAAGCCATATCTAACCTCACCGGTATTTATGCTTGGTCTTGGTCTTCCAGATCCAAAATACACACAACTCTAGTCTGTCAAGGAGATGCACGCTCAGGCACCCATGTGGGCCGTCTGGGGAATGTCTGATGTCATCTGGGCACACTTTCTGGAGGAACCAGGCCCCCAGCTACAAATTATACAGAGGAGGGGGAGGTTTAGGGATGTGGAAGGAGGATGTTGTATCATGCTCTTTTTTGAAATTTTTATTTTCTGTTTTTATTAATATTTATTATTGCTGTGCTATGATTGTTTCACTGTGGGCATGTCACCAGGAAAGCCATGGGGCACGAATGGGCCTGTGTCCTTTAGCAGGAGGGCAGGCCACGCCGCACTCTGCGCTCTCCGGCAACTTGCAGTGGCGCGCTGTTGCCCACCCT